AGCTGGGACACAAGCAAGCAAAAGCTTCGCGATTTATTCGGTCGGTCAGTTGCTCGTCAGATGACAGCCAGGCAGGACCTCGCGTCGCGTGTTCAATCGTCGACGGAGTCGTACGTCACGTACATCCAAGACGTACTGGCACTGTGCCGGAAGACTGACAAAAACATGTCCGAGGCGGACAAGATCAGCAACGTGTTGAAAGGCATTGCTGATGATGCTTTCAACATACTAATGTGCAAGAACTGCACCACTGTCGACTCCATCATATCTGAATGCCGGCGATTTGAGCAAGCTAAAAGCAGGCGAATCACCCACCACATCGCGAGACTACCAAGCACTGCTGCGACATCGTCTTGCGAGGATTCTGCAGCGCCCCGTTCACTAGCGCCTCCTGCCAATATCGCAAGGATTGTTCGCCAGGAGCTGGAAGCCATGGCACCCGCTTCCTATCGGCCCCCTGCGCAAGACAACTGGGCAACAGTCTCGCTTATTCAAGCCGTCGTACGCCAGGAGTTTGCTAACCTGGGCGTCCAGGTTCCCCAGCCGCAGCCCATCAGCACTCCTGTCCACAACGCTGACCACCACTCTGCTCCACTTGTCGCTGCGGCAGCTTCGACTCCTCGGTTTCCACCACGCTACCGAAATCCATCTGAGTGGCGTACGCACGATAATCGACCCATCTGCTTTTCTTGCTCTCGAGTTGGACACATCTCCCGCCATTGTCGCAACAGGTGGTATTTCCGGCCAAGCTTTCGTAATGTCGACCGCCGTCAGGACCGTGGACACTATTCGCAACCCGGTTTTTCGGATGACCATATTCAGGACCCTTCAGCTCGCCGTTCATCTTCACGCTCCGAACCGTCCTACGCTGACGTCGTCGCCCAAAGAAACTGGTCAAGCCGCTCGCCGTCACCTCAGGGTCGGCCGTCACGCTCCCCTCAACGCCGACGCTCTCCGTCACCGGCTTATTCTGGCCATTCCCCGGGAAACTGGCGAGTGCAGCTCCTGGAGGTGGCGCTGCGTTGACGACTCGGAACGAAAACCCTCAACCGGCTACAAATTCAAGACGCAATTTACTTCGGGTGTTCGTTGATGGCCACGCCGTTACTGCTCTAATTGACACTGGTGCCCAAGTATCTGTTATGAGTTCTACACTTCGATCTCGCCTGAAAAAAGTTCTCACACCAGCGATGTTCTCGACTGTTCGAGTTGCCAACGGAAGTCGAACATCAGTGCTTGGTATGTGCACTGCCCGCGTTACTGTTGCTGGCCACCACACTTCCGTTCTCTTCGCAGTCCTCGATGCTTGCCCACCCGACGTCATCCTTGGAATTGACTTCTTAACCGCCCACTCCGCCCTCATCGATTGTTCTACCGGTATCTTACGGCTCGAATTGCCTTTGTGCTCCGATTTCACTCCTCCAAGTCGCACTCGGCTACGATCCATGGAGTCTCTACGGCTACCGCCCCAGGCTGCTATGTACGTTCCTCTGTCGCCCTTCCCGTCCGTTCCTGATGGAGACTATCTGGTAGCTCCCCTCATTGATTTGACCCTTACGCACCACATCGCACTACCACATACTATAGTGGTTGTTGCTAACAACACGGTGCTACTTCCAGTTCTGAATTTCTCTACGTAGGCCCAAGTTCTTCCCCAAGGCATCACTTTAGCCGATCTTTCCACCCTTGATGAATGTTTAATTTGTTCTTTTACACCTGACACTAAGACCATGGCGAAACCTGTCATCACGTCGCAAAATAAGGCGTTCCTCAACAAAATGATATCCAGCGACCTCTTACCTTCCCAAATTGCGGCGCTCCAAGGTGTTCTGTTTTCTTACCTGGATATCTTTGACGTCGACGACCGTCCCCTGGGCCGCACAAGTGCCGTAACCCACCGCATCAACACCGGCGACGCCAGTCCACTCCACAAACGTCCTTATCGCGTGTCACATGCTGAGCGCCAAGTTATACAGACGGAGGTCGAGAAAATGCTGAGTAAAGATGTCATTGAGCCTTCATCGAGTCCTTGGGCCTCCCCTGTGGTCTTAGTTAAAAAGAAGGACAACACCTGGCGCTTTTGCGTCGACTATCGCCACCTGAATCGGATCACCAAGAAGGACGTTTATCCTTTACCCCGAATCGATGATGCGCTCGACTGCCTCCAGGGTGCCAACTATTTCTCGACCCTTGACCTTCGATCCGGATACTGGCAAATTTCGGTCGACGACCGCGACCGCGAGAAGACAGCATTCATCACACCCGACGGCCTTTACCAATTCAAGGTCATGCCTTTTGGGTTGTGCGATGCCCCGGCTACTTTTGAACGTATGATGGACTCTCTTCTTCGCGGTTTCAAATGGTCGACCTGCCTTTGCTATCTGGATGATGTAATAGTTTTCTCGCCCTCCTTCGAAAGCCACCTGCCTCGTCTCTCGGCAATTCTTGACGTGTTTCGTTGCGCTGGTCTCCAGCTGAATTCGTCGAAATGTTCATTTGGACGTCGGCAGATCAAACTACTCGGCCACCTTGTTGACGCCACTGGTGTTCAACCCGACCCTGACAAAGTCCGTGCAGTCCGAGAATTCCCGGTTCCGCGTTCCACACAAGAAGTTCGCAGTTTTATTGGGCTCTGCTCATACTTCCGCCGCTTTGTCTTCAACTTCGCGGATATTGCTAGGCCCCTCACGGATCTCCTCAAAAAGAATGTGGCCTTTTCTTGGGGAAGGGACCAAGAACATTCCTTCGCGTCGCTAATTACCGCCCTCACATCACCACCTGTGTTGGCTCATTTTGATCCAACGGCTCGGACAGAGCTTCGCACCGATGCAAGCGGCCATGGCGTTGGTGCTATACTCGCTCAGATACAGAATGGCACCAACCGTGTGATAGCCTACGCTAGCCGCCTTTTGTCGCAAGCGGAACAAAATTATTCTATAACTGAGCGGGAATGCTTAGCCCTCGTTTGGGCTATCGCGAAATTCCGTCCGTACTTATACGGACGTCCGTTCGCAGTCATCACGGACCATCATGCGCTTTGCTGGCTGTCGACGCTTAAGGACCCTACAGGAAGACTCGGCCGATGGGCACTTCGATTACAGGAGTACACGTTCTCGGTTGTTTACAAATCTGGAAAGCTGCGCAGCGATGCTGACTGCTTATCCCGGCACCCCGTTGATCCACCTAGCTCCACTGATTTAGAATCCGATGCCTGCGTTTTAGCCATCACTGACTTTATGAACGTGGCTGACGAACAGCGCCGAGATCCATCGCTGATCACCATCATTGACCGCCTTCAATCGCGTTATGCTGACCCTTCTCTTAGCAGATACTTGCTTCAAGACAACATTTTGTACCGCCGCAACTTACACCCTGACGGCGCGGAACTTTTACTCGTCGTACCGCATCACCTGCGAAAGGATGTTCTGCGACAATTCCACGACGCTCCAACTTCTGGACATCTAGGAGTCTCCAGAACTTACGACCGCATTCGACGACGAGTATTGTGGAAGGGTCTGTACCGCTCTGTTCGCCGTTACATCGCATCTTGCGACGTCTGTCAGCGCCGAAAGAAGCCTACGACTCCCCCTGCCGGTCTTCTTCAACCTATTGAAGTTCCAGCCGAGCCATTTTATCGAGTGGGGTTGGACTTGCAAGGTCCCTTTCCTACTTCTACAACTGGAAATAAATGGATTGCAGTGGCCACAGACTATGCCACTTGATATGCAATCACTCGAGCGCTACCAACCAGCTGCGCAACTGACGTTGCCGACTTCCTGCTGTACGACATTATTCTCCAGCATGGCGCTCCGACTCACCTGCTCACAGACTGTGGTCGCTACTTTTTATCTCGTGTGGTTGATGATCTACTCCGATCTTGTGCTACCCGTCACAACTTCACCACATCTTACCACCCTCAGACTAACGGCCTTACGGAGCGCCTAAACCGCACATTGACGAACATGCTTTCCATGTACGTATCTACCGACCACACTGATTGGGACATAGCTCTTCCGTTCGTAACCTTCGCCTATAACTCGTCGCGTCATGAAACAGCGGGCTACTCACCTTTTTATCGACTCTTCGGACGTCATCCCTTACTGCCCTTCGACACACTGCTTTCATCAGACCACCCATCCTCCACATCGTACGCTCAGGATGCGATCACCCGTGCCCTCACAGCACGCGCGGTAGCGCGTGCTCGGCTATCGTCGTCGCAGACAGCACAGAAGTCTCTTTATGACCGTCGACATAGAGATGCCGTTTTTTCTGCGGGATCTCTTGTTCTCTTGTGGCTCCCATCTCGACGTGTTGGCCTCTGCGAGAAACTACTATCGCGATACGCTGGGCCCTACCGAGTCATTCGTCAGGTCACACCTGTGACCTACGAGATTGCCGCTACCACAAACTCATCAGCTGCTGCACCCAAAACGGAAGTAGTCCACGTTTCTCGTCTCAAGCCCTACAACGCCAACTCGCTCATTTAACAGGCACCGAGACGGTGCCTTACGGGCCGGGGTGATGATACGTGTATGGAACTGTCACCTCGACACAGCTAAATTGGCACCCAAATGAAGAAGACGACAACGTGGATATAGTGGGTTGGACTCGCGAGCTTCTCCCGTTGGCCTGCTTTACTGTGCGCTCTCTAAGTCCTTAGGAAGACCAGCACTCGGTGAATAAATCTTCCCCGTAACAATATGATGGCGTTTGGTCTTGACTCGTGAAGCTGCAGAATTTTATAAATTGTGTCACATTGCTCCCCAACTCAAGCAATTTACTAGCAAAATTGACAGTGCACCTGCCATTCAAGTTCCCCTCAGTTGCCAGATGAGGGAAGAATGGGGTAGGTGTCATTTGAGCCATGGGCGTCCTGGTATACAGCTGGTTTCTGATGTATACTTCAAAGTGTGACCACATTATGGATATACTTGAAGGTTCTGCTCAAATTTCAACTGCTTGCACAGAACCAACATCACTAATTAATCTGTGTTTTGCAGGTGATGGAACCATTACTCATGATGGTTCTTATGAAGCTCGCATTGACCTGCGAAAATTGGTACCGGTACTTTTGGCACAGCAGTTGAATCCGAGACAGGTTACGTGCAGTAAGTTGGCTCTTATCAATTTATGTTGGTATATCTGTGGTTATATACTGTCGGACCCAAGTCCACCAGTCCTGTTATATGTATCAGGGTAGTGTAATGAAAGGAACAGCATTGTCATTCAAGTCACTTGGCTAGAGGAACAACTGAGCTTGGTTCACGTACAGTGCACTATGAAGCTGTAAAACCAGCTAAAAGATCAAATGGCACAGTAGTGTGGGAGTTTATCCCAATTCATTGAACGAAGAAGGCCTGACTAGAGTTTTGTCTTCAGTTATATCTATCCAAGCTTGTATTCTCGTCATTGTGTGAACTAAAAATACTACTGGATAACGGCTGCTGTCTTAAAATCTCGCAAGAAAGTTTGTTTGTTTTGTGCAGATGCTGTGTGCATTCTCACACTTTTGGAATTCCTAGAGTCAAATGTTAATCACTTGCTTTTTTTTTTTTTTTTCTAGGCAGCTCAACGCTTATGGTTCACTTTATTGAGACATGTGTGCCATACGTGGCACAACAATACTCAGCAGACGTGTTAACATAGTTATGCTTGCAGCTAAACCGAAATGCTGTGACCGAGCTAAAGCTAGTTGGTTCAACATAACGCCAAGACATTCTGCTTCAAAGTGTCTTAAACAACACGCAGGCAATGTTAATTTGTGGTTTCAATCTTACTGAAGTCTCTGCATATAATACATTAGGCAACTAAAAATGGAACAGTTGCCGGTTTGTGCATCACATAATCAATGTCATCTTGTTATTAAAAAGGGGCTGTAACAAACATTTTTGTCTCTAGTTTTTATGTTACAATGTATTGTCTGTTAGCCATAATGTGGCACATTGTTTGTCACAGTGTGCAATAGAAAATTAATGATAGGTTCCTTATTACCGGCCAATATTACTTTCTGTTTTAAGAGAGCCCTGAAAACGCCAAACCGCCGGGTGCAGCTATCTCTCAGTAGTGTGTGAAACACTCACCCCCATCAAACAGGAAACGAGGAAGCAGTGCCACCAGATACAAAACTTTCAACATGTGTGCTGTGCTTGTGAGCAGTTGCTGAGTAGTAGTCCGCTAGTGCAAACACATGGTAGAAGAGACTTTGATGTCAGCATAACTTGTATTTGGCTGCAGCGTGTCAACGTGGGGGGGAAGTGGAGTCATTGCTGAGTCACTTTTGAGGGTGTTAAGGCTGTGAGGTGCGACGTATGGTGCTTGGTCGCTCATGCAGACTTCAAGATTGGTATTCTAGGTCAAAATTTTGCAGATGATATGTGCATGCTCACTTGAATCGATCCCACAGGCTATCTGGCCCACGAGATTTTGTCAGTACCCTTTTAACCAGTCTTTTTATAGGCAGCGCATCTCTCGCTCTGAGCATGCTGAGTATGTGTGGGTTCTTTTGTTTCTTACAGCCAAGCTGACTGTGCAGCACTTGTGTCCTCATTTATGAAAAGTGCAACTTGAATGTGCTTCTTTGCAGAATGATTGCAGAGCTAGAGCAGTGTATGCATTCTATCATAATGGTCCTTGTAAAGTCAGGTGGCTGTCAAGTATAAGTGTAGAAGAAGTAAAAGCTTAATACAACCTAAAGCAACTCCACATTTTGTGCCACATCTTGTGCATGCTCTCATGTGCTCTTTTTTTGCTTTCAGAAATAGCTCACAAGAAGTTGTGCCACATTACTTTCAACCACGACCACGGCTCATTGCAGTATTTACTACCGTGTGTTTATGGTTAGGCAAAGTGGGAACATGCAGCTTTTTTCTGGCTTTTTGCAACAGTTGTGGACGGTTGTGGACACTCTGCAATGTGGTGATGCCCTGTGTGATGGCTCTATTATATAATAAGCACAGTTATACTGAGCCCTGGCTAAAAAATACTACAATTATTACTTTGAATACAAAGTCATTCCTATTTATTGTCATGCATTAAAGCTGAAGTTGATGATGAGTGCAGTTGGGTTTTCAAGTAACTGAATATGAATGTGGGTGTGTTGAAGCTGGGTTTATAAGATTATTGCTTGCATGATTGTTGACCAAAGATACATGCAACTTTTAAGAGAAAATGGGAAGTGCATCTCTGCTGTGTTTGTCTTCGGGTTTTAGAAGACGGTTGACGCAAAGGCAGTTCTTGTCTCTTACGCGAGGCATCTCTTGTATGCAGTCTACCACATTCTTATTCTCTTATATTCAAGTGCATGCACACTTGTCTCTTGCATGAATGTTTGTTATATATAAAGGGGCTCAACTGCTGTTGCCATTAAATACATGTTCTTGCTAAATCTGTGCCACTAAGTACTGAAGGAAGTCTGCACTGGTAATGTCACCACAGTAGTGCCTCAGAAATGCATTCCCTAGCCAACACTGCTGCACTTGTATCAATTTTTAGTGTTTTCCAAGAATCTCCAGTGCTACCCACGGAATCCACAATTCTTTTAATAGCAATCCAACGCTGTAGCTTTGCTTAGCTATTATGAAAACTTAAATATGAAAAGACTGGTATATGTTTAAATGTGAAGCATTTCTTAGCAAACTTCAGACTTTGAGCGTATTTGTCTATCTGTCTGTTCGTCCATCCGTCTACCTACCTACCTACCTGCCTACCTACCCACCTACCCACCCACCTACTTACCTACCTACCCACCCACCTACCTACCCACCCACCCACACGCCTACCTACCTACCTACCTACCTACCTACCTACCTACCTACCTACCTACCTACCTACCTACCTACCTACCTACCTACCTACCTACCTACCTACCTACCTACCTACCTACCTACCTACCTACCCTACCCTACCCTACCCTACCCTACACCTACCTACCTACCTACCTACCTACCTACCTACCCTACCCTACCCTACCCTACCCACCCACCCACCCACCCACCCACCTACCTACCGACCTACCTACCTACCTGCCTACCTACCTACCTGCCTACCTACCTACCTGCCTACCTACCTACGCTGTGCCTATATAGCAGAAAACGAAAGTAATGTACAACAACCTCGGAACAAAAGCAGCGCTTCGAGATAGGTAATAATGCACTTCAAGTTGTAAAAGACTATGTCTACTTAGGGCAGGTAATAACCGCGGAGCCAAACCACGAGATTGAAGTAACTAGAATGGGGTGGAGCACATTTGGCAAGCACTCTCAAATTATGACAGGTAGATTGCCACTATCCCTCAAGAGGAAGGTATATAACAGCTGTATCTTTCCGGTACTTAGCTATGGAGCAGAAACCTGGAGACTTACAAAGAGGGTTAAGCTTAAATTGAGGACGGCGCAGCAAGCAATGGGAATAAAAATGGTAGTTGTAACCTTAAGAGACAACAAGAGAGCAGAGTGGATTAGGGGACAAACGGGGGTTAAGGATATCATAGTTGAAATAAAGAAGAGGAAATGGACATGGGCCAGGCATGTAGCGCGTAGACAGGATAATCGCTGGTCATTAAGCGTAACTGACTGGATTCCCAGAGAAGCCAAGCGGGTTAGAGGGAGACAGAATGTTAGGTGGGCAGATGAGATGAAGAAGTTTGCTGGTATAAATTGGCAGCAGCAAGCACAGGACCGAGTTAACTGGCAGGAACATAGGAGAGGCCTTTGTCCTGCTGTGTACGTAGTCAGGCTGATGACGATGAGGAAAATTTTCCACTTAGCATCGTTGTGCAAGTTCAAGCAACTGGTTAAATAAATATCTGCAACTCTTCAACTTATGTGTGTGCATGCTACATTTGTACATATTGTCGCGGTAATCAACTGAGTAAAAGTAACAACAGTGTGGTAAACAGCGGAACAGTTCCGACCGAGCAGCGCGAGTTCGTCCTTGTCTTTCTCCAGCCCAAATCCTTTAGCACACACAAGTAATAATGAAACTATAGTCATGCAACAGCCACAAATCCACTACATGCCTGTGCCATTACTCCCCCTCTCCAAAAGCATTGACTCGGTGCTTTCAGATGTGTGAAGACAAGAGCAATTCTTCAGTATGAGTGATACTGCTTCATTGTGGCCACATGGACGATGTCCAGCTGTGCACCTCGAAAGAAGGACCGCGTACTGGGCTCTGCGGTAACTTCATAGTTGACATCGCTGAGGCACTGAAGAGTGTGGTAAGGGTCGAAATAATGACACAAGAGTTTCTCAAAGCGGCCGCGTTGGCGTGCGGGACTCTAGAGCCATACTTTTCCTCTGGGTGGGGTAGATGACTTCTTTGTACGAAGGTTGTACCTGTGAGCATCGTATTGGTGCTGAGAGCGAATGCGCAAATAAGCTACTTGTCGAGCTTTTTCGGCACACTGCGCGTACAAAAAAAAAAAAAAAGACGTTTTCAGTGGTGGTCGTAAAGGTGTCAGGTAAAAGCATAGCATCGAACATCGTAGAAACTTCGTGGCTGTGAAGCAGGTGGAAAGATGTAAATCCTGTAGTTTCTTGCATAGGGTTATTTTCTGTGAAGGTTATGAAAGGGAGGACACTGTCCCAGCTTCTATGGTCCACGTCGACATAATGGAAATGATGTCTGTGATGGTCATGTTCAGTCGTTCTGTTAAGCTGTTAGCTTGCGGATGGTAAGATGTCGTCCAGCGATGTACGGTGCCACTGAGTGTCATCACTTCTTCCAGCAGTTGGGCGGTGAAGGCCGTGCCTCTGTCGGTTAGAACCTCGCCTGGTGCACCATGGTGGAGGACAACAGCATGAATGAAGTCCTCGACATTGCTTGCCGTACCGCGTTAGAGTGCTCGTGTTTCACATTAACGGGTTAACTAGTCCGTTGCAATCATTATCCAGCGATTACCCGCTGAAGATATTCGCAAATGGACCTAGCAGGTTGTGGGGAAGCACGCATGCCCAGCCTTTCTTTCCCCTTTTTACGGCAGCGCGAAAGCCGTTTTGGTGGTGGTAGTGGTTAGGAGAGGAGAAAGGCACCTGATTTCTATAGCCTAGTTGGGAGCACGGGGCAGTGCCTGTTGCGCGAATACCCGCACGGCCGGCGCTCGCGATTCCCCCCTTTCCTGGCGCGTGGAACGGGTTTCCCTCCCCTCAGCGAGAAAAGGTATTATTCTCATCAGGGAGAGGAAAACCGGGGGAGTGACAAAACTGGCATGCAGACGGCCACACAGTTTCTCTGACACCGGCCTTGGAAGAAGGAGGTCGAACCCGCAACCCTCTTTGAGCCTAGGACGTCAATGACCAAGGAGTAGGCTAACGCCTAGCAACGCCTATTGCTAACGTCTAGCAATAAAGAGTCATTATGTTGACCTAGCTTGTTGCCTTAGTCGCCCGAACCCGTGTAGCTGCAGTGAGAAGAGCTACGGATAGGGGACGTTAATCGTGCACGGTACGACTGTGTATGGCTCGGGGCTTTAGATAGGCTTCTGCGTCAGCCAAACGTAGGACGGACCCCCTACAAGGTCCATGCCAACTTGTTGAAACGATTGTCTGGGTTGATCCACAGGCTGTAAAAGACCCGCACGTTTCATAGGCATAGTCTTGCGACGCTGGCAGTCTCGGCAGGCTTTGACGTAGTGCTTGACTGTACGGGACAGCTTGGGCCAGTAGTACTTGTGGCAGATACGAGCCAGAGTGCGCGTGAACCCTAAATGCCCAAAAGAGGGTTCGTCATGGCACGCCTTGAGGATGTCATCTTGCATAGTAGATGTACAACCAGTAGGGCGGTTCGAGCGTTGGGATCAAAGCTCCGCTTCTACAGGATGCTGTCACGGAGATAAAATGATGAAATCGTGCGCCTGAATGTTCATGGTAGCTGTTCAAGCTTTTCCTCGAGATAGGCGATGATCGGGCGAAGTTCTGTGTCATCACGTTGTTTCTGAGCCAAGTCAGAGGCTGTGGCAGCCATGAGGAAACTTTCGTCGTCAAATTGGTCGGGAGGAATCGACTTGACTGGGGCACGTGATAGGCAGTCAGCATTGGTGTGCTTGCGTCCTGACTTGTAAACCACCGTAATGTCAAATGTTTGTAGGCGGAGACTACATCGAGCGACGCGGCCTGAGGGGTCTTTGAGGCCTGCAAGCCAGCACAAAGAATGGTGGTCGGTGACTACTTTGGATGGTCGCCTATACAAATATGGTCGGAACTTGACTATGGCCCACACGATAGCTAGGCATTCCTTTTCTGTGGTGGAATAGTTCACTTCAGCTGATAATAACGTACGACTAGTGTAGGCGATCACTCGCTTGATGCCTTCCTGCCATTGCACAGGGACAGCTCCGAGGCCGACATTACTTACATCAGTGTGCACTTCAGTGTCGGCATTTTCATCGAAATGACTTAAGATTAGAGAAGTTTCGAGGTGTCATCGTAGCTTGCAAGAAGCTTCGTGTTGTTCTGGGGCCAACAAAAAAGCAACGTTGTCTCTCGTGAGTTGGTATAAGGGTTCTGCTATTTTCGAAAAGTTCGGAATGAAGCGACGATAGTACGCACAAATGCACAGAAAACGGCGTACGTCGTGTTTGTTTCTTGTAGTTGGAAAGGCAGCGACAGCCAGTGTTTTCTCGGGGTCTGGGCGAATTGACAACATGGCCGAGAAACTTCTGCACCTCGTAGCCGAAGTGGCATTTTTTGGGCTTGAGTACTGCACAGAGACGCTGAAGGTGCTGCTCAAAAGTCGCTAAAAAAAACGATGACGTCATCCAAATAGACACGACGCGATTGCCACTTGAGACCAGACAAAACTGTGTTCATCATTTGTTGAAATGTCATGGGAGCAGACAGAGCACAGTTCAAAAGGAAGCACCTTGAATTCGGAGAGTCCATCATGAGTAAGGAAAACGATCTTTTCCCGGTCACGCTCATCGACCTCAATTGGCCAATAACCACTGCATAGATCCATGGACAAAAAATATCGGGTGTTTCGAAGGTGGTCAAGTGAGTCGTCGATGCGAGGAAGTGGATATACGCCTTTCTTTGTCACGATGTTCAGTTTGCGATAATCAACACAGAAGCGCAATGTGCCATCTTTCTTTTTCACCAGCACAACCGGTGATGCCCATGGGGTTATAGATGGCTGAACGTCGTCGCCAGCAAGCATTTGTTCCAACACTTGGTCATGAGTGGGGTCTTGTTCTCTGCTGGAAACATGATAAGCATGTCGTTGAATAGGCCTTTCGTTGGTCTCTGTTATGATTCTGTGCTTCCTGACGGGCATCTGTTTGATTTTGGCCGCCGTTGCAAAGCAATCACTGAAGGAAAGCATGAAGGAGCAAAGACTCTTGCTTTGAAGTCGATAGTGTGCAGTTCACATCAAGCTTAACCGGA